CAGTAGGACACTACATCAGTACCAGATCACACCATACAGGAAACAAAGCTGTGGAGTTAGTTGCATTTTCTGTTTGGTTTCATTCAGATCCTCTTAATAGAGATGGAAAGTGTTATGGTTTGTATCTAGGAAACCTCCTGCCCATTCTGCAAACCTCACGTGTGTGTAAGTGGGGCTCTTCAGAGCTGGCTGGATCTAGGGTGTGTGACACTGGGATTAAGAGTTTGTGGTCATGGGTACTGGGGATTTAGCTCAGCGGCATAAGCGCCTTCCTTGCAAGTGTATGGTTGTGAGTTTGATCCCTGGTACTGATAAAAATGAAAAAGACAAAAAAATTTTTAAAAAGAGTGTGTGGTAATAAAAAATTAGTCCACTAATTAGAATGAGCATAGTTCTGGGTGTGGCTGAATGGATTTATGGAGGATAGATCTCCAACCTAGGTGTGGACCTAAAGGGTTTGGAGCCTGTTTGAGATAAAAGTCAACAGCAGGTTCGTTTTTCCTGCTGCTGTGAGCTGCTTTCTGTATAGCAAACTATGAGCTATCTTTCTTCTCTGATGCCCCTCTGCTATGGCACCCAGTGTCGGAGCCAGCTATGGACTGACGCTGACTGCTACAAACTGAGCTAAAGTAAATCTTTCCTGCTTCAACTCTAGGGGTCAGGAATTTTGTTTCATTAATGAGAAAAGTAACTAAGACAGAAGGTCTATAGCTGGCCCACTCCCATGACAGCGCAGAGCCTACAAGAAAGAACAGAAAGAATCTAATCAAAGCAATCACAAGAACCAAGGTCAAGGGGAAGCAGAAGCTGAGGAGGCTTGGGAGGCTGAGCAGAGGCAACCCCAAGTCAGGTAGGGGGGCCTGGAAATGGGGAAGAACTTGGGCTTTGGGCTAGAACCTGGAGAGTACCCACACCCTCACCCACCTTGTGAAGTCACCAGAGAGGAAAGTTTTGGGGTTTGGGGTGTACATTCCCTCCCCACACCCCCTGTAAGACTCAGCACAGCAACCAGGGATAATTACTTGCTCAGAGCTGCCAGAATAAAGGCTGGGGAGTTAACCCACTCCACTTTCTCTGCTCAGTGGCTGACCTGTTTGATTTGGTTTGGGATTCCTCTTGTGTTTGTGTTTGCTGAAGCTCAGAAGGGTAAAGGGCTTGTTTGTGTTTGTCTTGCTGATCTTCTTGGAGAGTCTTCCTCAACTTTTCTGTCCTTTGATGCCTAGCGGGGGAGAAGTTACTGCTCCACCAAATACTGTGGTGCCTCTTCCTGCTTCCTGTGTCATCCTGCAGCGCCCCCTGGCTGTCACCCAGTGACACAGGACTAGCTTTTACCTAGACCCTGAACTTCCTCTTCCTCGTCCACTGAATTGAGTTCCCCATTCTTTTGATTTCTACCTCTTAGGCAGCTCCCCTGTTCATGAAGAAGGAAGGCTTCCATCATGCACATTGTGTGGGCATGAACTCAGGTGGTTATAACAATGACCAGAGAAGAAAATATTAGGGGTGAGGATGGAGTTAAGACAATAGATTCTTTGCGAATGTATTTGATAAAGAGTGATAAAGAGAACCCAAGAGAAACATTTGCAAAGAATCCAATCCAATTTAGGTACTTGACTAAGGATTCTTTTTTTTTTTTTTTTGTCTTTTTCCTTTTTTATCGGTACCGGGGATCGAACTCACGACTGCCTGCTTGCAAGGCAGGCACTTCTGCCACTGAGCTAAATCCCCAGCTGACTAAGGACTCTTAACTAGAATACTTGAGACAACAAAGCCCTGCAGATACAGGAAATAATGAAAATCTACTACAACCTGTAAAACAAGACTGACAAATGTGTGGAACTAGGGAGAAATGATAGGACCTTGTCTTGGCTTAACTTTGACAATTTTCTTCACACAACAGGAAGCAAAGTGCATCTGTCCTGGGTTCCATCACATGGGGCAGGCTTCCCATTTGCCACCACTGGAGCCACCAGCCAAGCCTCTGTCACTACTGGTATATCTGTCATATGGACACTATTTGTCTTTTGTCCTTGGTGTGAGCTATGGACATTTCTTCCTGGCTTTCTAGCTGAATGGCAGGGAAGCAGGAGGAATAATCAATAAGCAGGTAAGTGAAACAGGTCTTCGACACAGGTTGAGTATCCTGTATCTGAACTGCTCTGGATCAGATAGGTTTCAAATTTTGGATTTTAGAATATTTGTATATACCTACTGAAGTTCTTCAGGATGATACTCAAGGGTAAACATGCAATTCACTATTTTTACATACACCAATACATATATCCTGAGAATAACTTTAGAATTTTGACTGTGCCTGCACATGAGGTCAGGTGTGGCGTTTTCCACTTGGGGCATCATGTCAGAAACTTACAAGTTTCTGATATTAAGCAAGGCATAGCGGCACATGTCTGTGATCCTAGCTACTCAGGAGGTGGAGGCTACTGGATCCCAAGTTCAAGTGTAGCCTGGACAACTTAGTGAGACCTTGTCTCAAAATAAGAGTAAAAACTAAATAAAATAGAGGTTTTAAAAGGGCTGGGGATGTATCTCAGTGCTGCCTGGGTTCACTCCATATTACTGCAGCAAAACAAAAAGAAACAACAACAAAAAAAGAGCTTCTGATTTTGAAGCATCTTGGACTTTGGGTTTTTGGATCAAGCACGTTCCATTTTTGCTGGAATCCGGCAGGAGAAGTGGTTACTGGGGTAAGGTGATGGCTGAAAGAAAAAAAAAGGCAAAGCCCAGAAATAAGTAGAAGTAGAAGTAAGTTAGAAGTATAACAAATACGTAGAGTTGGCGGCTTGAAAGTGCGGGAAGGCACCGTGTTGCTACAGTCTCAGGACAGAGTTTTGCAGACGCCAGGGAAACGGGCTATGCCAGCAGGACGAGGGCTACTTAGAAATCATCTTTTCTCATGTGACCGTCTGCTGTTAGTACCTTTCCAAACCACTGCATTCTTCAGACTAGGCTGACAGACTCCACTGCTCTGACCACAAATGTCTCAAATAATCAGACAGGAATTAGTCTTTTCTTCATTCACAAAGTATTTATACCTGTTCTGTTGTAAGCGTTATTCTAAATGCTGGCGATAAAGCGATGCAAAGATGATGTGCTTGCCTTTATGGAGCTCTAGGGGAGAGACGATAGACAAGAAGTGAAATATGTAAATACTGTATGAATGTTAAAAAAGTAGTAAGCTCTAGGCCAAAAAGGCCTTCCTAAGGAGCATCATTTCTTTTTTTTTGGTACTGGGGCTCGAACTCACAACCGTGTGCTTGCCAGGCAGGTGATTGTGCCACTGAGCTAAATCCCAGCATGGAAGTGCCATTTCAATGGGATTCAGAGTGGGCTCAGGAGAGGAGGCTGGGGGGCACAGGGAGGAGGAGGTGGGGATGCTCCCAAGGGGGTGTGCCTCATGTCTATCAGGAAAAGTGCGCAGGGCTTCAGGCAGGATAGTAGGTGGGGCAGGATGGTAGTGCCCAGATCAGAGAGGCAGACAGCGGAGCACGGCCACATCACGTGGGGCCTTTCGGGCCACGGTGCACACTCTGCATTTTATATCCAACAGAGAGTGCCCATGCCAGGTGGAAAATTGGAATTGCCCCATGTCCTTAAAGAACTCTGCTGGTTCCTATCTGAGTAACAGGGAGCAGGGGCAAAGTAAAAGGAGAAAGTTACACTGAGTGTAAGATAGTGTCTTTGGAGGGATGGGTGATGCTGGGGGTTACAAGCTGCTGGGGAGTGATGGTACAATTTAGGATCAATTTCCAGAGGTTACCTCAGTTTGGGGACCTCACAGTGATATGCACCAGACAGTTATGACCCAGGCTGGGTCAATCAGAATACCAGCTTGGGTTGTCACATGACTTATGGTGTTATTATCTAGATGTCCCTCTGAAGCTTTAGGAGTTCATAGATGGCATTTCTGGGAGGCCACTGGATCATGGGGGTATGATACTCACAGGGGATTAGTCTACCGGTGAGTTTTTAGTTAAATGGGAGGTGACGTCTGGTTGGAGAAGGTGGGTCGCTGTGGGGGTGGCCTGGAAGCTTCTCTTTCCTTCCTCCTCCCTTGATCCCTCTCTCTGCTCTCTGAGGCTACACCATGAGCTTTTTCTCCTCTGCTACACTAGCAGGCCTTGGAGCCAGCTGACTATGGACTGGAACTCCAACACACTGAGCCAAAACAAACTCCCTCCTTAGAGTTGTGGCAGTGGGGATGAGTCTCAGCAAGGAGAAAGTGACTGTGACACATGGCATAGGTGCTCTACCTCTCAAACGCTCTGTGAGGAACCTGGCAGGCGTGCCCCGAGTGACAGAACCTAAATTTCTGGGTAAGGACCACCTTCTTCTATGTCTGGAGTAATAATCAGGCCAACGTCTCAACACAGTTCTTTGCTCATGTCAAATGAGGAGTCTGTTTTCTCTGACTGGGAGCACGTCATTGGAGTATGCCTAGGAAGCATTTTCCAAAACTCTATCTCGGGCTCCTGCAGCGGTCAGAATTCTGGGGGGCCTCATTGGCAGGGCCAGCCTGTCAGCTGGAGTACGCCAGGGCGCAGAAGGAAAGGGAGGGAAGGGGAAGGAGAAGTGGGTGTGAGGGACTGACCAGCTCCATCCAAACTCAGAGGAGCGAGGGTGCAGGAGCAGGGAGACAATGGCCAAGCGTACACAGGGTCAGCTGGACAGGAGGGACACACACTCATTTCTCTGAGGCATGTTGTACTATGTAGTAAATATAATACACAATAATGTACCGCACAATTCAAAATCAGCATTTCAAGTGTTCTAACCCCAAAGAATAAGCACTTGCATAATGAATATCCTAATTAGCTGTAACGATGAACTGTATGACCACTTTGCATTCCGTAAGTATATAACAGCGACGTGCCATGTAGTTCTTCAACAGCTCACGAAGGGCGAGTGCATTTTACCAAGTCACAAGGAACCATGCAAACTTGGCTCCAGATGATTAAAAAATAACTCTGCACCACACACACTCCTGTTCTGATAGTTTTATTGCAGAAGGAAGATAATCAACACAGGTTACAAACTTAAGGGCTGCAACAAATTGCAGATGCTCTTTCCAGACATTTCTATGCCACGTACCCACAGGAAACAACCTGGATGCAAGCAAGAGGTAATATTCCAGAGAAGCAGAAATAAGGGCGAGGGGCTATCTGCAGCTCCTTTATTTTGTTTTATTTATTTTTTTGTGAGGGTGGGATGGAGTCTGGGCCTCATGCATGCTAAGTAAGTGCTCTACCACTGAGCTACATTTCTAACCCTAGACATTTCTGAGAGAACAGTCATACTAAAATGACTGCTCAGGCCCCTTAAACAAATCCCTAAAGGGCAGTAGTGCTCCAGAAGACTGTAATTAAAACATCCTGCCAGGATCTAATGTTTTGAGCAACTGGGACTCTGTGGCACTCAAGAGGACAAGGGCCTGGCGGGTGACAATGTCTGATGTCTAAGGCCACCTCTGGCTATAGGAAAACGCACTAATCTCTAGAAGTGGGACCGTCCCATTGGAAGCCCAACTGGGCCTCTGGCTCTCAAAGCCACTGCACATGTGGAGGCTAATTTCTGGATGGAAATGTGGTTTCTACAAAGGACAAGAATGCAAGCTATGTGGGCTGCTAGCCCAGCTCCCCTTTTTCCAGCTTCCCTGCTCACAGGGCCTTGAAAAAGCTAGGCAGCAAAGAGGACAGACAAGGCTCAGGAGAGCCTGAAGAGGTCCAGTCTGAGAGCCACGCCGGAGGCATTTCTGGAATGAAGGCGGGTGCCTCTCTTCCAAAAAGAAATGCTTCAGACGGTGCTTGTACTTCAAAGTGAACTATAAAGATGCCTTTGACTGCCGGGGGTTTCTAGAATTCTGATTTGCAATGGGAGTGGTGGTGTGGGACAGGGGCTGGCAGTTGAGTCTTTGATTCCCTGAGTAACCGTTTGGAACCCCCATTCCCAAGTTGTGCAGTGGCCCATCTTTTGTGTTCTATTATTTCTGTGGCCATACACAGTTGAGAACAGGGGTGAGATGCAGAGGACAGGAACGGGGCCCCAGTTCACTGGCAGGGAAAGGGGTGCCGTGACTGTAGCGAGCTGGTCCTAGATGACCCTGAGGCACAGAGCAGCGGTCTGATCAGAGCTTGTCTGACCAACAGCCACTCTAGCTAGCAGGTGGGGAGTGTGTGCGTGTGTGCAGCCAGAAGATGCGTATCGCATCCACAAGAGGGAGAAGAAAACGGAGGATGGTGGTAACGGAGGAAAGGATGTATGAGGCTCATCAAAGAACAAAACGAATTTCCTTTGCATTAATTGGCTGAGCTAACTCATTTCTTATTTGGGGGGACATTTAGGGATATATATGTATAACTATAAATACATATGCACACATATATATATACACATATATGTGCATTTAAGTGAACACTGAGCACCAGATTGCTTCACAATCTTGTACTAAAACCAGTGATTTCCCTTCTTGCACTCCAGAAATACCAAAATATTTTTATCTATCAACAAAAGAATTGTGCATCCCCCGTTTTGTTTAGTTCTGCCCCCCTATACCTGCTTACTGTCAGCTCTGAGCATCTCCCTTGTCCTCCTCCCTACCTGGCCGGCGCTTACAGGTGAGCATGAGCAGCAGGAGCAGAGGCAGATGCCACAGGCTGCAGAAGAACAGCTTCCTGGAGCTCTTCCGGTCCGCGTCCTTGTAGAACCGGAAGCCGAGGTAGGAAATGTACAGGTTGATGGGGAGGGAGACCAGGGGGAAGGCCCACGTAGTGACGTCCAGCACCGGTGCAGCTATGCACAGTCCGACCAGCGCCAGGCAGTGGCGCAGCGCCACTCGCCTGCACAGGCCTGGGTGGGTCACTGACATCATGCAGTAGCCACCACGGGAGTAGTCTTCACGGAGGCCCCAGCTCAGGGCATTGAAATGGGGGAACTGCCACGAGTAGAGGATTCCTCCCAGGAGAAGTGCACCTGTCAGAGTTTAGATGGAAAAGAAGGAAACAAACTCAGAGTCATCAAGAGTTTCCAGAGGAACAGTTCTACCCCGGAGGAGCCTGTCTGGCCCCTTTAGGCACTGTCTTGGGGTCTGACCAGCAACTCTGCCTCCTCAGATCGGCTTCAGGTGAGGCAGGCATGGCACAGTGGTGTGGAAAGTCCACTCCTTCCCAGGATGTGCATGAGGCAGAGAGGCTGGCTACTACGTGGACCTGTCACCTAAGCTTCAGGATGTTTAGCACCTGTGGATTTTATCCACTTGCAATGCCTCTCACGGTTCACCAGTAATGACCAGAGAGGCCCTACTCAGGCACTTGAGAGCACTGAACAGAGACCAGAGTGGATTCCAGCCTCTATGCTCCTGCTTCTAATGCCACTTATTCAGTTGAGACTTGGACTAGCTGGCAGCAGGACAGCACCTCGAAGGCCCAAGTCTAGTGCACCTGGCTCCCCTGCAGGTGTTAGCAGTTCCCACTTGCCCACAGACCAGTGCCGAAGTCTGCCTGTCCCCCGCGACCACCATGTGGGTATCCGGAACATTCTTCCTCATGATTCTCCAGAGCCTGGCACAAGTTGCATGTACTAAACAGCAGGTGCTAAGTAAAGGCCTGAGCAAAGAGCTCACACTGGCATAAAGGAACACAGTCTCAGAGTAGAATGATCTGTCTACAGCTTCGTGATTTTTAAAACCTAAGGACATACCCTGAAGTAGTCCAACTGCTTTCTCTGGATCAGAACGTTCTGCTCGTTACTTGCAGGGCAGAATGGAGGCAGCCTTTGCTAAGCACCTACCATACTTCCCCAGAGGCTGCCCTGTTTAATCCCGACCACAGGATATTCAGTAATTATCTAAGCCTTAGAAATTAGATGTTGAGTTCTCCAAAAAGAAGTGAAGGGAGATTTGAAAACAAGTCTGTGTAATTTTTCAAACGAGGCTGTCTACTACGCTAAGCCACTTCCCTAAGGCCAGCTGGTGCTTGAGGGCAGGGACCAGTTACTTCACGCAGGCGATACGTTATTCTTGAGCTAGTCTAAGCGGCAAGCACTGAGCTTGGCAATGGGGTACAACACGGTGTATTCTCAGGTGCATTACATTCCGCATGGGTCAGGAAGGTAGGTGGGAATAGTTGTTACTTTTTTATTGCTGGGACAAATTACCTGAACCCCCAACTTAATGGAGAAGGGGTCTGTTTGACGGAAAGACTGAGATGAGTTGGTTCATGCACAAATAGCTGGCCCCAAGGCACAAAGGGAATGGCACGAGTGACTGGCAAACAAAGCTGATAAAGCCACAGCAGGCATGCGGAGCGGGTGGGGGTGGAGGGAGGGAGGGAGGGAGAGCAGCTTAGCTTTCTGTGGCTGCTGTGAGCTAAGCAACTCTTTTCCGTTTTCCATTAGGGAGACAAGATAATGAAGACCTGAGTTTAGGTCTACGTTTCAGCAAAGTTGCTATCAAATACTCACATCCACTTTTAACCTTCACTTCTTGTTAACTTGTAAATAACATGGACACAAATATCTTAGTCCACGCAAACATACTCCAATTTGAGTGAAAATAATGAGCTGCTATTTTGGGTTGAATCCATTCACTTGGTAAACAGATGATGGCATCTTACATGCCAAGTATAATTCTGGGTGACAGAAATGCAGCATCGAGGAAGATGAAGTCCTGCTTACAATCCATAGGGAGCAACAGGTAAAATTACAAATAGCCACGAAACCAAGTGACACTGAGGCCATCAGCCTGTAACTGGAAGTGGACTTGGCCCTGGAAACAGCAGAATGGCAGAAAGGCGAGAGTGAGGCAGAGTTGGGAGGGAGGCTGGTGGTCCCCTGAAGTCAGGAAAGGGCACAATTTCCACCCCTGGTCAGCACCATGGGGAGAACAGACTTGGGGTAGCGAGGGGTCAGGGACTAGGGAGAGAGCAGGATGCCAGATTCCTGCAGGCGGTTTCCCCTCTGGACACAGACTCTGGGAAGTGTTCTACTCTTGGTCATTTCAGATTTGAGGTGCCTATTAGACATCCCGGTTGCTTGTGGCTATCATATCCTTGGCACCAGACACACGCTTTCTAATGCTTACAACAGCCCCCAGCTTGCAAGTGTTATTACCACCATCTTACTATAATGAGACACATTACAGCAGCCCCTCCTTATCTAACGTTTCAGCCACCTCTGGTCAACTTTAGTCCAAAAATACACAGAAAATTTCATAAATAAACAACTCGTACATTTTAAATTATGGACCATTCTGAGCAGTGTGATAAAATCTTGCATAGACCTGTTTTGTCCCACCCACAATGTGAACTATCACTGTCTAGAGTATCCACATTGTCTACACTACCCTCCTTGAAACCACTTAGTAGTTCTGTTACCATACAAATTGTCATGGTCTCACGGTGCTTGGTACTCAGGGTCTGGGACCATCTGTGGTTGGCATCCAGTGTGGGTCTTGGGAGTTATTCCCTAAGGATATGGGAGGAGTACTGCAATTAGTTCACCAACAAGCTACTTTTAGAAAGCTGCTGCCATACCCAACCCCCAGCAGTCATAGCCCCATACCAGTGGCCTGAGTGGTGTAATATGAATGCCAGAGGGGTAGGGCAGTAACTGTCTTATTCATTAAGGTAACAGTCCCAGTACTGGTTTCGTGATAAACAGACATTTATGTTGACACTGAGTCTTCTCGGGGAATTAGAAAGGACACAGGGAAACGTGGGTCACAAAGGTGTAAGTGAAATAAGCAAAGGGACGATGGGAGTAGACTTTGTCTTTTAATGTGAAAATAAAATCATCTCCAGACTATTAGGTGGGACAAGAAAGGCGGGCATGTAGTTAGAGATTCTCAGGTCCAGGGTGATGCTGAAGGCCCTAAGCATGTTGTGTGGAGTAGCCTCGCTCAGAGTACAGAAGAAAGCAGACCCGACCAAGCAGTTTCTTGTCAGGAGAAACATCAGAGACAACTGCGGTGAGAGAGAGGGCAGGGCTGCACACTCTGTGGGTGTCTTTGTTCCAGAAGTGGCTGAGAAAGCAGACTGGAAGCAAAGCGGTTAAAGCAGCAGACTCAAATGCGGAATAGCTCTTTCTTTCTGAGCCCTCCTTTTTTGTGTGTCAACTGTATCCTGTGTTGCTCAATACGCATTTTCAGTTTCGCTTCTCTTACAATAACATAACTTGGGGGAAAAAAGGGGCTCATTTTCATTTTCACAAGAGTAGTACGCTGCTTTCTGCACGAAAGGAAATTGGTACGGGTTTGGCTCCTGTCACAAATGAAAGCCTTTCAGAAATCACAGCTTAAGTCTTAATGGATTGTAATCAGAAAACTACCACCCACACACAGTTCAGACTTGATATGCTTCAACTGCCTCCGCTCTATAAAAGACGTAAAACAAATTGCTCTCTTCATCAAGATAAGGTGAACAGGAACAGGAAGGCTTGAATTAGGCCAGGGTTGTGGCGGGGACCCACCTTCCTGGTGGGGTGAAATAAAGCACTTAGCTTTCAAATTCAAAGGCCTCCCTTACCCTCAAGGTAAGTAGAGCTCTGCTCTTCCCCTGGCCTCCGTCCCCAGCCAGTTTTTATTGGGCCTGTCTTCCGTAAAGGCAAACACTGTCTGGGAGCCCACCGAAGGACAGGCCCTGTCCCTCCTCAGAGTCCTTTGCCATCCTGGCCAGGGAGAAAGATCCCTCTGTGAGGAGTGCTCCCTTAGGGACAGGGCTTACGGGCAGCGCGTGGCAGCAGCTGCGCATACACTTGGCCTGGGAGAGGTCAGGGAGGGCTTCCTGGAACAGAGATCTGTAAACCGAAATCTGACTATGGTCTCTGAGTCAGGGCTGTCACAAAAGCAGCACTTGCCACTTCTTTGAACTGGATTGTCTCACTTTTTTACCTAATCCTGCTGTACATTTTTGGTTTTTAGTCCTAATGGAATCAATGTCTGCTTCCTTTTTTTTTAAATTAAGTGCTTGCTTGTGCATGACTATTTAAAATACTGGAAATCTATGAGAGGTAGCATTCCTATGGGCGCGGCTCGGCAGAGCACAGAAACTTCCTGAGATCATGTTACTATACCGGCTGAAAGGTAACTTCAGAGACTATCTAGGTGTCCAGGAGATTATTGTTTTCTTTCTTGCACAGAAAATAGAGAACTGCACATCTCCTATTCTGTGTGTGAACCACAGGAGAGCATCATTACCCACAGCATCCTTCCTTGTTAGAGAGACATGCTAGGCAGGCAAGGCTAACCAGCGTCTTCCTGGTAACACTGTAAAGACACATGTAGTTTTCAACTCTCTTTGAAACACGTGACCATCACTTCTGCAACATACAGATTTGGGGAAATATCTCTTTCTTTCTACTTCCTTGTAAAATACTCCTGTCCGCAGTATACTTCCATCACCTTGAAAAACAAATCGAAGGCAGGTCCAGCTAAATGGTATCCAACAAATGAAGGCAAAAATTCTCAAGCTGGGGTTCTCTCGGGATGTGCTCTTCCAAGGAAAGATCCTTCTGCAGTGGGGTTCAGGGGTTTCAGCTTGCTTCCCCTGCCTGCCCGGTGAGCACCTTCCCACGCCCACCCAAGGCCATTCATTGTCCCTGACCATGCCCGCACGGCTTTGCAAAGGATAAAGAAACCCAGCTCCACTCTGGAGCCTGTTATTGGGTCCGGGAGACAATAGGCTCTCCTCCCAAGGAAGCCCTGCACCGTGCATCGGGCCATGGCGGCTGCCTCTGTGCTTCATGGTTACGTGGCTGTGTAAACTGGCGGCCAGCGAGGGAAGCAAAGCCAGAGCGAGAGCTCCACGGTCACAGATTTCAAAGCCTTTCCTTTGAGGGTTGACACAAAGGGGTTTGTGAGACAGAGCAGCCCCAACAGCGGAATACACTCCTACAGTGGCGCAGATGAAGGGAAGAGGATGTGGGGCCAGTTTATCAACTGCACAGAAGACAGAAGAGAGGCTTACACGTCCTCTGAA